CAGTCCTCTTGGACCACCTTTTGATAACCTTTCACTATAGTCGGTCTCTATCTGACAACACTGTAGCATCTTTTAAATCAACGGTTCCATCTTTACTGTCCTCAGAATTTCAGAGGAATGTAGCAGAGGGCAATATTTTCATTTTTAGCCCTTCACAAATTGATGATTTGGTTCATAATGTTATTTCTTCTTTACGTGTGACATTAGATGATGTTGCCCCTTAAAAAACGAAAGTAATTAAGCACAGGAAGTTGGCACCTTGGTTTAATTCTCATTCACGAACTGTAAAACAAAACTCTAAAAAATTGGAGAGAACATGGTGCTCTACACACTTGGATGAGTCCTACTTATCCTGGAAAATAGTCCTGTGCTTTATAAAAATAAGCTTTGACAAGCTAGAACTGCATATTTGTCATCGCTAATTGAGGATAATAAGAATAATCCTAAATATCGTTTCAGTACAGTTGCCAAACTTGCACAGAATCATAGCTCTGAACCATCTTTTCCCTTAGCCCTCAGCAGCAACGACTTTATGGGACTTTTCACAAGTAAAATTCGTTATATTAGAAACAAAATCATTAGCATCCTCCCTAATGTGATTTCTTCTTCTTCCTCAGTAAGTGAGGCAGCATCAGAGGTAACTGTAGAACCTCATCTGTGTTTGAACTGTTTTGATCCAGTTGAGCATTCAGAGTTATAGATAGATAGATAGATAGATAGATAGATAGATAGATAGATAGATAGATAGATAGATAGATAGATAGATAGACAGATAGACAGACAGACAGACAGACAGACAGACAGACAGACAGACAGACAGACAGACAGACAGACAGACAGACAGACAGATAGATAGATAGATAGATAGATAGATAGATAGATAGATAGATAGATAGATAGATAGATAGATAGATAGATAGGCTGCATGGTTGCGCAGTGGTTAGCACTGTGGCCTCGCAACACGAAGGCCGCAGGCTCGAAACTCGGCTGCGGCCTTTCTGCGTGGAGTTGCGTGTTCTCCCCATGCGTGGGTTTTCTCCGGGTACTCCGGTTTCCCCCACAGATCACAACATGCCCTATAGGTTAAAAAAAAATTGTAAGTCGCTTTGGGTAAAAGCGTCTGCTAAGCACCTAAACATAGATAGATAGATAGATGATAGATAGATAGATAGATAGATAGATAGATAGATAGATAGATAGATAGATAGATAGATAGATAGATAGATAGATAGATAGATAGATAGATAGATAGATAGATAGATAGATAGATAGATAGATAGATAGATAGATAGATAGATAGATAGATAGATAGATAGATAGATAGATGATAGATAGAGAAACTTTATTGTCCACCTCGAATTGAGGCAGAAACTTTATTGTTCACCTCGAATTGAAGCAGAAATTCGCCTTTGACATGGCTCACCTTACAATACAATCCATATCGCATTCACACAAATACATAAAAAGACAATTAAAAGGTATTAGAATGTTATCATCGTAAAAAAACTAAGAATTCAAAATTGTAATTGCGGTGGGAACAAATAATTTCTTATAGACACCTTTCTTGGCCAATGGAACCCTGAACCTCCTTCCTGCAATTTAAATTTTAGCTTCATCTAAACCTTCGAATTGCATTTTAGATCCAATCCCAATTTCAGTCTGGTTTTAGAGAGTATCACAACACTGAAACTGCATTAGTGAAAGATACAAATGATATTCTTATGGCCTCAGATAAGAATCTTGTGTCTGTTCATTCTAGTCTTGTTTGATCTCAGTGCTGCTTTTGACAGTAGATCACAATGTTCTTTTAGAACGGCTTGAACATGTAAGGCTCAAAGGAATAGCGCTAGGCTGGTTTAAATTCTACCTGTCTGATAGATTTATTTTGTCAATGTACATGACAAATCTTCATACTCCGGGGTTACTTGTGGAGTACCATGGGGTTCAGTGCTTGGACCAGTTCTTTTTACCACATATATGCTTCCAATTGGTAAAATCATTAGAAAACATGGGATAAACACCCACTGTTATGGTGACAATACTCAGCTATTTTTATCCATTAACCCTGATTAACCTAATTGGTTAGTTAGATTACAGGCTTGTCTTGAAGACATACATATCTGGATGACATTAAACTTTCTGCCTTTAAATCAAGACAAGACTGAAATTCTCATCTTTGGACCTGAAATTCAGAAAAGGAAACTGCTTAGTCAATCACCTGACCTGAATGGCATTACATTAATCTCTGAGAACAAAGTAAGGAACCTTTTGTTATCTTTGACCAGAACATGTCATTCAAATCCCAAGTTAAACAGGTTTGTAGGATTTCCTTTTTCTGCCTTCGAAATGTTGCTAAGATTAGAAGCATGTTTCCAGGAGTGATGCTGAAAAACTAGTTCATGCATTTATTACATCAAGACAGGATTACTGTAATTCATTAACAGGGAGTCCACAGAATGTAGGTAAAAGTCTTCAGCTTGTGCAAAATGCTGCAGCTGGAGTTCTGATGAGAATTAAAAAGAGAGATCTTATCTCTCCTGTCTTAGCTTCCCTACATTGGCTACCTGTTAAATTCAGAATAGATTTTAAGATCCTTCTTCTCACATATAAAGCTCTTAATTATTAAGCTCCATCATACATCAGTGATCTGATTGTTCCATATGTTCCTAACCGAGCACTTCGCTCTCAGACTGCAGGCTTACTGGTGGGTTCCAAGATTCTCTGGTCTGAGACAAGACAGAACTTTTTGGCCTTAGTTCTAAGCTGTATGAGTGGAGAAAACCAGGCATTGCTCATCACTTGTCCAATACATTCCCCACAGTGAAGCATGGTGGTGGCAGCATCATGCTGTGGGGGTGTTCTTCAGCTGCAGGGACAGGACGACTTGTTGCAATCGAGGGAACGATGAATATGGCCAAGTACAGTGTTGTCCTGGACATGGTCCTTCTCCAGATTGCTCAAGACCTCAGACTGGGCTGCAGGTTTACCTTCCAACACTACAATTACCCTGAAAAAAACAGCTAAAATAACAAAGGGGTGGCTTCACGACATCTCTGTGACTGTTCTTGAATAGCCCAGCCAGAGCCCTGACTTTAACCCCAGTGAGCATTTCTGGAGTGACCTAAAAATGGCTGTCCACCAACGTTCACTATTCAACCTGACAGAACTGGAGAAGATCTGCAAGGAGGAATCGCAAAGGATCCCAAAATCCAGGTGTGAGAAACTTGTTGCATCTTTACCAACAAGACTTGTGGCTGTATTAGCTTGAAAGGTGCTTCTACTAAATACTGAGAAAAGGGTCTGAATACTTAGGGTCAGGGTGATATTTCAGTTTTTCTTTTTTTAATTACAATATGGGGTGCTGTGTGTACATTAACCCACTCAGGCTCAAAATAAGTTTTGATAAAAGGACGAACAACTAAGTCCTTCACGGGTACTTCTGAGTTAACAAATGCTCATGAAATACGTATGTGGAGTAACCAGGTAGGTAGGTTTTAACTGTTGCAAATCTGCAATGCCTGCCTCCAGATGGTTAAAGAGGAAAACATTTAATTGATTTTAGCAAATGGCAGCAATATAACAAAGAGTGGAAAATTCATGGGGGTCTGAATATTTTACATACCCACTCTATGTCGGCAGGAAGGGAAACTTTATTGATGTGAATTGAAGAAGGGTACATGAGGTAAAGTATATAAAATTATATTAGAAACATCGTGCCCAGGAGTGATGCTGAAAAACTAGTCCATGCACTCAGTACCTCAAGACTGGATTACTGTAATTCATTACTATCAGGAAGTCCACATGTAGTTAAAAGACTGTATTGGACAAACCTCTCAGTTTGTCTCAGTGAGCTAATAATAAACAGAGGCAGCTGCTGCAGGACACACCTTGGTATTTGCGTTCTCATTAGTATTATTAGCTACCAGGATGACCTATCAATGATCAGATCACGCATGGCATTAGCAGGAATAAAGCTTCTGCCGACTTCTCGGTAATCCAATTTTCTTTCTTTTTACTGTCAGAGCTGACAGCATGCAAATCCAAGCTGGAATAAGTAGTTCCAATTTAATGTTCAGCTAGTTTATCTCTGTGGTGCTGCTGTAGTTGTGAAATCACCTGTGACAAAATGTGACCAGGCTCGGTTTTTATCACGTAGGACACCGTGGATCGGTCACTCACATATGTTACACCATGACACGCTGGGTTTCAGGCAGAAAACAATTAAAAAGCCATCTGTAAGTTTCGTTAGACTGTTTAGTGAAACATGCCCCCAGCTATTCTAGCTGCTCCTTTAATCACAAAGCTGGATCCACTCATTTGGTTTTACTTGGCTCTAAGTGTTTTAGACAACTTCAAGAAAACACATTTGAGAGAAAGAAAAAGGTGCTTAATCTTAAAAATGTATGCCTTTTGTCACATCCGAATTATTGTCAGCCTATTAAAAAAACCAGTAGGAACCATCCCAAACAAACATCTGAAGGTGGAAGCAGCATTTCCTTTCATTTCTGTAACTGAGTTGGAGCCAAAGGAAGAGTGAGAAGAAGCTTCTCGGCTCCATTTTCATTTCGCTGATGCTCTCAACCCCTAATCTTGACTGCAGATGCAAATAGTCTAAAAAACGTCCCCACCAAATATTTGCATTTAAACAAATAGATAAAAGGTCATTTTGAAAAGCTTTCTCCTCATGACTGCAGAGTGAGGTGGCATGTTCCACGAGTGCCTGCCCTCCTGACAGTGTGGTTAAAGCTCTGTAAGTGGCACGCCACTCAGTATGGTGCTGCTCTGTGGGACTGATACTGTAGGCAAATAGAGCAGAGAGAGAACAGAACGGCCTCTGTGTGTGTGTGTGTATGTGCGTGTGTATGTGTGTGTGTCCCTCAGCATCATGGACACAGGTAAGTCATCATTCCTACTCATGCTCTTCTATTTTCCTTGCTAGTATTGTTTATAAAATACTTTTTAAAATGTTTGCTTATTTTATAATTAATGTAGACATGCTTTTACTTTGAAAAGTAAAAATATAATTGTTCTGTTTTTAATATTTTGCTTTTTGGGATTATTTGAATCCATTTGTGGAGAGGAACCCCATCAGCAGCTGCAAGTCTAAATATTTATTTAATTTAAAAAAATTATATAAAAAAATAAAAGGTTCTGAGTAGAGCTTAAATTGATTTCTGTTATTTAAACCAATTTTATTTTGGAACATTTATTATAGCATCCATCAAACAATGAACAAACGTCCTAAATGACAGTTTGATAAAAATAAAAATCACTATAGATAAATAAATGCAACGTTCCATACTTCATTCCTCTTGCTGCTGTAAAAATTTTCGCCTCATCTAAAATATCCATTTAAAAGGCTTTTACATATTGTTTTTTGCATGCAATATCCGTTTGCATGATAAAGTTTGCATTTTCATTGAGTTTGCAGCATTACTTCCCAGGAATGTCCCCAAATCACACCTGCACCAAAGTGAGATTTATACACATCAGCTGCAAATATTATAAAAGTTCAACTTTTTAAATTGATTTATATTTCTTAAAATATTTTTTGTCCGTAAATCACTTTTTTCCAGAGTTTAGCTGCTATTATGTTTACAGTAAATATTTGTAGTTAATTACCACTTTTTAGCAGTTCATTTGCACTGACCAAACCAGAGGATATTTCCATGACATTTACACACAGTCCCAAAGAGTAGTTCAGCTATATGCATAAAACTGTGAAGCATTCAAATGAACTCACATTTGTGGGGATGGATGAAAATTTGTATGATGTTGAGCTACGGGTGAAACGGTTTCTGGATTTGTGTTGTGTCCTGAATCCCCGACTGCTTCTCTTTTCTTTCCAGAATACGCTAAGCGAGTGTACCAAGGTGTCCGAGTGAAGCACACAGTCAAAGACCTGCTGGCGGAGAAGCGATCACGACAGACAAACGGGCCCAGATACAACGTAAGCATCATCTCTCCTCCGTCTCTCCCCACTTCTTTTTTCTTTCAAACCAAACATTGTAGCCACAGTTGACATTCTGTCCATTCACAATTAAGGGCTTGCTTTTAAAAGTCTCTGTTTACATTTTGTGTTGTTTTGTGCTCCGACGAGCCGGTGGTTGATCTATTGACCACCTGTACTTGCCTCTCCCCTCACCACCCCTTCTGTCTCTGCTGCCCTCAAGCACTTGTAAAGCCCGTCTGTAAATAGCTGAGCACACTGTAGGTAGCTGCAGACAAAGTGCAGGGTCCCATCATTACCTCACAAAGGGATCTTTGCACAATGCATGCAATGCCAATAGCCAGATCTCCCAAAAACTCCCTGGAGGTGGAGGTGGGGGTGGGGTGGGAGGACAGGCAGCATAGAGGAGGCAGAAAATGGGTTGATGAGGAGTCACACTATGCAAAGTTTGATCCTCACACACCTGCCAGCCGATATTGTGCTCTGCTGTGAGCAGGCTCCAAACAAACCTCCTATTGTTGTCACACACACACGCACACACACACGCACGCACGCACACAATAACGTAAATGCTTACACATACACAGTCAGAGAAATCTGACGGCGTTTTATACGTCTGCATGCACGAGCAAGACTGGCTTTTCATCACAGCAAACTTGCTGTCAAAAGGCTTTTTCAGGCCAGTATTTACTCTGTTTTCTGTGTGGAGGCTTCATTGTCCACTCCAGATATACAAGCTGCTCACCATGCAGGTAAACAGGGATTAGGTGGGAGTCCCTAAAAGAAGAAACCAGGCAATGTGATTATTATGAAATGTCCAGCTGTTGATTTGATGGAGAGGTTTGTAACTTGAGCAGAAAGCTGATAGAGGAACGTTCTTAGAGGGAGAACAGTCTTGTGTCAAAGCTGTGAGGTTTTATTTCTACACATTTTCTGAAGGCAGAGGATTAAATAAGCTATGGGGCTGACTGAGTTACCTTCTTGTCTAAAGCTTGGTTTATGCTTGACGCATTCACTTTCCGCTTGGTGATGCGGCTCGCGGATGGAACGCGCTTCACAACTCGCAGCGTTTATGGTTCATGCGGATCGTCTCTGCGGTGAGCCAATATTCTCCAAAACTGTAGGGGGCAGCATGGAGCTCTACAGCTTGCATCCAGCACTACACCATAGTAGAAGTAGAAATTACTGTTGTTTACAACATGGCATTTCAGCATTTTTAACAGCGTCCTCATCTTTTCCGACAGTGCGAGCTACCGTAAATCCTCTAATACAGGCCCGGGCCTGTATTTGACTCAAGCTCATCAAGCTCCAGGCCTTTATTGGAAGGAGGGCCAGTATTAGAGGCAGGCCTCTATTTCTATTTGAGCAAAATGAACTAATGGTTCGCTGGAGTTTTTGACAATTAAAATTGCGACCACATTTTCAAAGTTAAACACATTTCTTTTAACAACGGTAGTTCCTGCTTCAGCCCTCTCCCCCCTCCCCCTGCGCAGCGGCTGCAAACTCACTGATGAGCCTGCAGCCTCTTGGAGTTCCTGCTGCTCTAAACATTAAAATAATTATTTCATTTTCTGTTCCTCACTTCTGATTACCTTCAATGGTGTCTGTTTGTTGCAACCACCAGGTACAAAAACTAACTTGTTTTTATTTGACTATTTTTCTGTCCTGCCTGTTTATTATCTTCCTGCATCTCCTCTTAATCCTAAAGAGAAACTGCTACCTGGGTTCATATATATTCACCTTATGAGTTACCTTTGAACTGCAGTTCTAAAAGATCTACCGACCGCAAAAACAGCGGAGCGCTCGCTGTTTGGCGGCCGTATCAGTGATCAGTGCGTCGGAGGACAAGGTGATGCCCGCAGCGTCCCGCTCCACAGCATGCAGCGAAACGCATCAGGCGCAAATAAAAGACAGAAAACATTAAAGGAAATGAACTGACATGAACGATCGCGTTTTAAATTAGTTTTTGAGGTGGCGACACCTGATTGTTACTGTGGCCGTGCTCAGGAGGCAGATCTACCGACCGCGAAAACAGCTGAGCGCTCCCTGCTTGCCGGCCGCATCAGTGATCTGTGCGTCGGAGGACAAGGTGATGCGCCCCGCTCCACAGCAGCGATACACATCAGGCGCAAATAAAAGACAGAAAACATTAAAGGAAATGAACCGACATGAACGATCGCGTGTCAGTACCTACGGTCCGGCACAGCGCGTTGCTGATCACAGAGAATGTGATCATACCATAATTCAATAGGGAGCGTGGTTTCACAGACGCGGAAGTGAGAGCGTCGGTGAAACGCCAGCTGCTCTAGGAAACCCCCGAGCGTTCGAGCGTCAACGAAGTGACACGGAAATGCCGGGCTTTCCAGAAGTAAGTAAGATAACTTACTATGAGCTGATAGTTCGTTGGATTGATTGGTAGGTTGGAAACTCTGATCATGAATCTGAAGAAACGATGACTGAGTGGTGAGCTGGAAAGGCGACTTCCGTTTATAGCCGCCGTTTGTGACGTAGGTGCGACGTGGAGGGAATCCCCGCGAGGGGCATGCTGGGAGTCCCTACTTCGCGGATTTTCACCTATCGCGGCCAGGTCTGGAACGCATCTACCACGATAAACGAGGGATTACTGTAGTTCATACACCCCCTACTGCTGCTCTCCAGAGTGTTCTGCAGCATAATCAGCACGTTCTCTTTGAACTTGATAGTGTAATGACCTGGCTGGGGTTGTAAGCCAAGTGCATTCTGGGTATTGTGTTATATGTGTTTCCTATCGTTCTGCTAGTTCCTATGTGCTGATTTGCGTGTTGTGTGAGTGTTCTGTAAGCCACAGGGAAGGTGATGTGCGTTCTGTGGAGCGGGTTGAATTAGCATGGTTAACTGACACCGTGACTCTGTGTGGTAGGAGCGTGATAGACGATCGTGTCTGTAGCGTTACAAAGCTTTGAAGAAAAAGCTTAATAAAGGTCTGCGTGAACCTCTACTGCCTCCTGCTGTTTGATTTGGGTACTATAACCCTGCCTGGGACGCTCATACTTGCTTGTTACCACATTCCATGGTCCATTCCATCCGGCCACAATAAGAGACCGGCTATTATTTACCTCCGCTGACTCGACACCGACCAAAACTGGAGACCCGGCCTTTAATTGAATATCGGCCTGTATTAGAGGATTTACGGTATTTCTCTCCAAGAATTATTAACAACATGTTGATCACGGTGATCTCTGAGAGCTGAATCATACAAATGTCTGTATTTACGAACCTCTGCCATACTAGTTCTTGCCAGTCCGCCATGTTTTTCCGCGTCTGTCCGTCCGCGTGGTTAGAAATTTTCCGAGGTGCGCGTTGCGGAAATTCTGGGCCGTGCGGAGGCGCGGTGGAGGGGCGTGGTTGTTAAAATGAAGCAAAATGAGGCAATTTTTCCGCGCGGAGCCGTGCGGACCTCGCGGACGCGTCAAGCATAAACCAACCTTTAAGCTGACATGTGGAGTCCCAAGTGAGGGTGAGGAAGTGTCATGGAGTGCACAGTGCTGCAACTCCTTGCTGCACCGTCCCAGGTTCAACACCTTGACTGTTGAGTTTACATGCTTTCTTTAAAGTAATCATGTTAGGTTAATAAGTTTGTCTGTTTGTCCCTGACTTGGACCGATGACCTGAGCAGGAGTAGCTCTGCCTCTTAGAAATGGGAGAGGTGATCCTGAGGAGGAGGGATGGATCAGACATGAAACATAAATACAGAAGCTCTGAAGTAATAAACTAACAACACTGTTGTTTTTGTTGCTGCCTTTTTATGTAGAACACACACACACACACACACACACACACACACACACACACACACACACACACACACAGTAGCCTGGGGCAGGCTAACAGAAGCGAGACTGCCACATAATCGGCACCATCGGCCCCTCTGACCACCGTTCGTGTCTTGCCCAAGGACAAAACTGACAAATGGAGCCTGGGTTTCAATCAGCAACCCACCAGGAGTGAAGTCCTCACAAATGAAGCTGCTATTCCATTTAAACAAAAAAATAATCTGTTTTAAAAAGTAGTTAAACATTTTCCTGAAATGGCCATTTAGGCTACTTCATTTTTCATGACCATATAAACCTCTGCCTTCTGCCTTTGAGGACCTGTTGAGTCTCTCAGGATGGAGCAGAGAATCATCTCTAAACGGTGACCTCACTAACGACTAAGTCAGGCTTTCTAGTTGTCTCCATCTGTATTCCTTCAGACTGCTATTTCCATTATGAACCGTTTTTGGTGTTTGAATGTTTAATACACCAGAATTACTTCAACGGACGATCAAACCAAAAAACTCATTTAAAATAGGTTAGGTTGAAAAAAGAGTCGTAAATAAATAAACCCTGAAAAAGCTTCAGACAGTCTAGAGAGATGCTAGTTAGAAGTTCATCAGGAACAAGATGTTTATAAGATAAATTGTGAAAACAGGCTGTAATGCAGAATTATTATTATTATTATTATTATTATTATTATTATTAATGCTGTTGCATTGGCACATCATATCTTGATTTAACTGTTTAACCTTGTAGCCTCACCTCGAGAATGCCTTCGATTACTTCTAGGCAGATACGTGATGTTGGGAGACAAACGTTGATATTTGCTCAAATCAAACTGCATAAACAACATTAAATGGTGTCTACATCAAATGGAAGCTTGGCTCACAGAGATTGATAAAAACTCTGATACAATAGCTGTTTATGGACGATGCTTGAAGAGCTAATAATGACCAAAGGCTACAGTAACTAAAGCCATCCTTGTCCTCATGTTACTCGCTACCATCTTTTATAACAGGGAATAAAAAGGCCATTGAGCATCAGCCAACGCTGACCACAGAGCAATCACGCTCATGTTGAGACACGAACAGCTACAGTGAACTCACAAAGATGTCCCACTTGAGCCGGTTACCCCGTCTAACCAGGTGTGCTGCTATTACAGCACAGTGATGCCTAAATGTTATGAGGAGTTTTTGTGGTCTATGTCTCTTAACAGTTAAGCAGAAATGATATTAAATTAGGATCTTTGGTTGTGAGTTGAGAAAAAAAGTGTTGTAATTTAAAACCAATCTCAATTAATGGAAAGAAACGATTAAATTAACAGAATAAATCATATCTGTATAAATAATAAAAAATAAACAGACATATTGAAGCTGATATTGTCTTTTTTAAAAGCTAACACAAATAAGTGTAACACAGTCCTGAATACAGATTGGAAATCTTTTTTTGTCCAGTTTTGTAAAACAAAATTGTGTAACTCGATACAACAAGTACTTTGCATAGGAAGGAAGCGCTTTTTTGTGTGAAACATGGGTAAATAAATCCATCACCATGATACTGCAACCCACAATTTCACCACACACGACACACACACACACACACACACACACACACACAAACATGCACTCGCACTAACACATGTGCAATTGCACACTAACATGTACACAAACTTAAGCTCACACACACAAACACACACACTTAACCCCCCCAGACACACACACACTCACAAACACACACGCACACACACACGCACACACACACATGCACGCACACACACTCACACATATGCACGCATGGATGCACGCGCGCACACACACACACACACACACACACACACACACACACACACACACACACACACACACACACACACACACACACTCACAAACACACACGCACACACACACATGCACACACTCACAAACACACACACACACTGACAAACATACACACACGTTTACACACACATACACATGCACACACACACGCATGCACGCACACACACACACAATTACAAACACACACACACACACACACACATATACACACACACACACACGCACACACACACGCACGCACACACACTCACACATATGCACGCATGGATGCACGCACTCACACACGCACTCACACACATGCACACACTCACAAACACACACACACTGACAAACATACACACACGTATACACACACACACACACACACACACACAAACACATATTATCTGACTGAGCTTGAGCTCGCTGATTTTCATACACAGCCTTCGGAGATGCACTGAGCCATACCTGGGGCACATGAGGAAGTCTTGGCATGGGCAAATCACATTCAAATTCTGCCCTCAAAATTTGCCTGCGTCCCAGCCGACACAGGCTTAATATCAACTCTTTCATGTTAGCAGTATGCAAACCAGCCTGTCGTTCTGTCCTGCAGGACCGTGTGTGTGTCCTGCAGGACCGTGTGTGTGTCCTGCAGGATGTCTGCACACAGGTCACCGCCACTTTGCACGAATCTCTTTCTGCTTTGTTCTGGTGAGGATCATTAGGGCTTCTGCAGCCTGATCCAGTGACCAACCCAACCTTTTAATAATGGTCTCAACTTGTTGTCCCCCAGAAATAACAGGAAGCCAGAGTGAATGAGACTTTGAGGGCCACTGTTAAGTTTGTACTGTCTGAACTCTAAAAGCTCATTTTTAGTTAAGAATCTATCAATTAGTCCAACATTCTTACATACGGTTTAATGCTGGATATTCCTATTTGGCTCATTAGCACCACTAGTGTTTGGACTTGGAATTGCATCTACCTGATTATCACCAAAGGACAGATGAGTGACAGGACAAGAGCACTTCAGAGGGCCAATCAGATTTCAGCAAGGGGCCAATGCCTCTGTGGCCTCGTCCCTAGAACCACCAGTGCCTAAGGGATTAATAAAGTCAGTCTGAGTCTGAAGTTATGAAGATTCAATTCAATTTTATTTATACAGCGCCAAATCACGACAAGAGTCATCTCAAGGCACTTCACATAATAAACACACCGCAAGATGAAAAGAGATCGTGTAGACAACAGGTTTAGAAAGAATTAAAAAAAAACATATCTCAGTTAATAAAGTCATATGGTGTAGAACAGGGGTATTCAGTTCCGGTCCTGGAGGTCTGGTAACCAGCACGTTTTAGTTTTAACTGTGTTTCAACACACCTGATTTCAATCAGTAGGTAGTTAACAGGCTTCTACAGAGCCTGACGAGCTGCTGCACAGGCGATTCAAGTGTGTTGAATCAGAGAAACCACCAAAACGTGCTGGATACTGGACCTCCAGGACTGGAATGGAATACCCCTGATGTAGAAGGAACCATAACCGTGATCCAAGCATTGAAACTTGAACATTTCCTCCAGAATATTGTGACATTCTGGCTGCTGGGTTTACGTCTATATGCTAAAATCCAACTGACTTAAAAATGAATGAATCTGAATTGTTGTGTCTTCCTAACAGGGAGGATCTACCACCCCACCTTCATTTGTTCAGATGCCAGGTGAGTTTCAGAAGAACAAAGACTCATTATTGTTAAAACACGTTTAAATCCAAACTGGTTTTGTCATTGGTTACACTTTGTTAAATTTCTCTGTTGAAAAGTTGCATCATGGTTTTAAAATCTTAGCTTTGGTATTTGGACTGAATTGAAACAGGTCACACTAAAGCCAGAAAATCAGATATTTACATTTTTTACAACTTCTAAAAAAGAACCCGATCTTTAAAAGGTTGAGGACACGCTGAAGGAGCATGGATGAAGTGAAAATGTAGGTTGTCAGTAATCCTTACTGTCTCATGTTATCCAACAGGAACACACGTGCTACCCAGCTACTACAGCATGAGACGTTCCTTCTTATCCGACACAGACTTCTGCCCGTCCACTAAGCAGTTCCCCCCTGATGTTTATTCTTCCACTCTTGGAGGGAAACCTCTGGGCTGTGAATCTTCCGCCATGACTAGCTACTCCTCCCTCATCGACAGCTACTACCCAGAAACCTTTGGGGATTACCGCAGCGCCGCCACCTTTTCCAGCTCTGGAAGTTCATTTCTGCCCTCGTCGGCCATATCGTCCCTGTTGCCACCTTTCAGTGGAGAATCATCACATTTATATCTGGTAGGGCTCAAGAAAACTCCCTTTAAAGCCTGAAAAATATATATATTTTAAAATCTAGTAACCTTTAGCATCTGGTGTTTATGTATTGGCTAAGTGAATGTGTTTTATTTTACTATATAGTTAAAAAACATAAATAAAATTGGCCATTTCCACTTGTAGAACCCCACCAGAGGGCAGTGGACATGTACTAGATGTGGCAGGTTTCTGATGAAGACACTAATCCTGATACTTCGTGTGAATCCTTTAAGGCTTGATGTGGTCTAATGTGGATTTAGAACAAAGAGTTAAATAATGAAAATCTTGCAGAAGTGAGTTAAGTACAGAGGTCAGAGGTCATGATACTCAGTGTGGGCTCTAAGGCTGCTCAACCTTCTGCCTGAGGAAAGGGGCACGAATAGAGTAGAGTCCATTATTAAGTTCCTTGTTCTAGTTCTGCTTGTGTAAGAGGCCGTCGGACCAGCTCACACACCAGACTGTAATGTTCGGACACTCTCCACCCCGCACTAGTAAAAAGAAATGAACACAGCAGCAGTGAGTCCTGCTTCACTCAACTTCACTGTCAAATAGACTAATTGGTGGAACGTGTCAGTCGTATACACACTGCATGGCCAAAAGAAAACTCACCAAATAAAAGTTCACATACTCTCATATTTTTACAATTTCTAATATTTTATTAATATGAACCAACCATCTTTACCTTTGATTACACACACATTCTCTGTGGCGTTGTTTCGATAAGCTTCTGCAATGTCACCAGACTTATCTCCATCCAGTGTTGCATTAATGTTCCACCAAGATCTTGCATTGATGATGGTAGAGTCTGACCGCCGCACAAAGCCTTCTCCAGCACATCCCAAAGATTCTCAATGGGGTTAAGGTCTGTACTCTGTGGTGGCCAATCCATGTGTGAAAATGACATCTCATGCTCCCTGAACCACTCTTTCACTGTCTGAGCTCGATGAATCCTGACATTGTCATCTTAGAATATGGCCGTTCCATCAGAGAAGATGGAATAACCTGGTCATTCAGTGTATTCAGGTAGTCAGCTGACCTCATTCTTGGAGCACATCCTGTTGCTGAACCAAATGCAGCAAGCCCAGATCATAGTACTGCCCCCACAGGTTTGTACAGTAGGCACTAGGCATGATGGGTGCATCACTTCATCTGCCTCTCTTCTTACCCTGATGCTCCCATTAATCTGGAACAGGGTCCATCTGGACTCATTAGACCAGTTTTTAATAATGCGTTGGACAGTTCTTAACCCAGTTTTAGTCGTTTCTGCATCTCCTTAGATGTTTTCTCTGCTTGATACATGCCAATGATCTGACCCTTCTGAAACAGACTAACATCTTTTCCACGACCACCAGATGTGTCTTTCCACATAGTTGTTTAAGAAATGAGAAGCAGCTCATTGCACCAGCTGGGTTAAATAACAGCTGAAATTAACTAATTATCCAATATGACGCGTGTACCTAATTGCTTAGTTAAATCTAGGTGGAGACTTTTACTGGGCTGGGCAGTGTGTGTGTGTGTGTGTGTGTGTGTGTGTGTGTGTGTGTGTGTGTGTGTGTGTGTGTGTGTGTGTGTGTGTGTTGTGTGTGTGTGTGTGTGTGTGTGTGTGTGTGTGTGTGTGTGTGTGTGTGTGTGTGTGTGTGTGTGTGTGTGGCTAAAAGAACAAGATAAAATAAGTAAAATATAACTTGATAAAAATTAGCTAAATTGTCTAAAAATATGGCTAGCTCATATGCTGAGCCCCCCGCCACTGTATAGAAGTGAGTCTTCTTCCGACTCTTAAACACCAGCAGTGAGGGTGCTTGTTTGGCCATTCCATAGCTTGGGGGCCAAAACTGAGAAAGCCCATCCTCCTCTAGTCGAGCATTTTACTCTTGGAACAAATAGTAAGTTTTGCTGTGATGACCTAAGCACACGAGATGGTTTGTATCGGGTGAGTAAGTCAGACAGATAACTTGGAGTACAGTACTGCAGAGACTTAAAAACAAAAACAAGTATCTTGAACTGAACTCTGAACTATAATGGAAGCCAGTGCAGATTGGCCAATGCAGGTGTGATGTGTTCCCTGTTTCTGGTGCTGATCAGGAATCTAGCAGAAGCGTTTTGTGCAAGCTGAAGCCGAGCAAGTGCAGCCTTGCTAACTCCAGAGTAAAGGGAGTTGCAATAGTCTAGAAGATAAGTAATAAAAGCATGGACTACAGTCTCCAGATGAGCTTGTGACACTAACGGCTTGATCTTTGATTTGCGGCGAAGATGGAAAAAGCAAGAGCACACTACTTCATTTATATCAGTCTAGCTTTAGAGATCCAACGATCTTTACACACAGATCAGTGACTGGCTCCTTTTTAAATGGGGGGACAAAGAGAAGTCAACATCCTGTTTAGAAGCATAACTTGCGCTTGGACTTAAAACAATTACCTCTGTTTGGCCCTCATTAAAAAGTAAGAAGATGGAGGCCATCCATGATCTAACTTCATCTAGGCGATCCAGTAGTGACTTGATTCTGGCTGTAGAACAGTGTCTCAAGGGAAGCCAGGACACAAGGTCAGAGGGGAGTTAACATCAACTCCCCATACAGAGATTGAGTACAAAGCACCAATAAGTGAAACTCTGAATGAGGCAGCAACTGACCTGAGAGATAGAATAATGGCGCGAATAACCACCAAGCAACCCCGACGCCAACTACAATTGCTGAGTGATGTACCATCATCCTTTGTGGATGGTGTCACGGCCCTGTTCTGATCTCCTCAATTCTCGCCCACCTCAGTCCCAATCCAGCCTCATAACTCCAATTCCAGCCTTCATTCCCCTCACTCCACCTTCCAGACTCCAGTTCCCACCATGTACATCCCCGGACTTCTGGTCCACTTAACATTTCCCGGGCTTTTTCAGGAAGTCTAAATCACTAATCAGGGCTCAGTCATTGTTTCTTCCTGGAACCTTGTCCGGATTTATCTGACCACATCTGTTTCCTGACCAGACCAACTGAATCATTCAGCCTGTCTACTTCCTGTAAGTCTGTTCCTTTATTCTGGAACCGCAGCACGCTCTCGTCTCCTTTCAAGCTGCGCGCCACGATTACTATATTCACACCCAGTGCCATTCACTCTGCGCTTGGGTCATAACACCACTCCATATCCAAACTCACGCTACTGTCTGCTCAGTCCTAGCCAGATCCTGACGAAGCACTGAGAATGATTACTAACCAGACCCGGCGCCAAGGACTTCACCTGGAGGGGCAGTGGGTTTTTCTGGGGGGGGCCCAGTAATAAACCGTGTTTTTTTCAACCCCTTTGCTTGTTTATAATCTGTCTGGTGGACATTACATACATATACTTCCGGGTCAAATCCGTCGTTTTGTGTCACCAACTTGTTCTACATAACTAACTGAAAAGCTAAGATTCTTCATTGTTTTATTCCGATTATGTATGCCAATCAAAGATGCAATCAAAACTTAAGACAAAGTAACCAATTTTACTGAACCAATACTTGCAACTCACCGTTCTTAGCTGCGCCTGCGCACCACAGTCACCATCTCAAAACAATCCTAATGTCCAGTTAATGTTCTCCAATAACGTACTTAGTCCAAATGTCTTCTTCCAAATCCTGCCCTGCAGCTTGATACCTTAGTAAATTCTTTTTTTTGCACGTATTTCTCATAATGTTTACATCACAAATACTAGTTAGCATCAGGTTAGCATGCTACTTCTTGGCTGCGTGCTTCTTCTTCTGGGTAAACATTGACTTGGTGCGTTACTGCTACCATCTGGTAAGAAGTGTAACCTAGGTCTTCTAAACAATATTTAGAAAATCTAGTGTTTTCTTTCTAAAAAAGAGAACAGACAACCCTGTATTTAAGATGGTTCAAAAACAGTTTCAACTTTAATATGCGTTTTAAAACATTTGAATAAAAAGGACAGCAGACACCTCTGAATTCAAAATGGTAACAAAGAGTTTGATGAGGAATGAGAACTAAAGTGTCTGCAGGGGAAACAGTATGCTGCATCTGTTTTCACTGAATACTCCAACCATGTTCTATTTTGGTACCATGATGAAGAAAAACTGCATTTTTTCCCAGAGAAAAGTCGAACTGGATAATTTTCCAGGCGCACCTGATTAGGCTTATCCACCCCGAGGTCATCTGAACAGCGATTTATGTTGGTGCTGCTGCCACTCGGTGGCGCAATTGCCTGCTGAGACTGTGCTGGAGGCACGGAGAGAGGAGGAACAGAAGTGCTTGTAGCTGCAACTTCTGACTGCACTGGCCTTTTTGATGATGCGTCATCCCTGCTTGTGCTAGCATTGTTTTTCTGTTTGCTAAACCAAGCTCTGATATCCATTTTAGCAAGCTACTGTACCAAAGCGTCTTCTTCTACTGCATCTAAAACTGTCGATTAGTAACCTAGAGCGCCCTCTGTTGATCGTCTCGAGCCAATACATTTGCATGCGGTGCTGTAATCTGTCCTGGGCGGGCCAGATCGGCAAATGGGCGGGCTGGGCCCACCCAGGCCCGGCCTTGACGCCGGGCCTGATTACTACAACCACCACTCCTCCTCTGTTTAATTCTGCACAGAGAAAGAGTCTGGTAATTCTCCTATTCAAATAACTCCACCCCCTGAGAATTCTAACAGAGCCAATCAGCACCATGCGCAGAGTACATTTGGTTACTCAAAGGCAGAGAGGCACTTGAGGGGCAGGACTAGCCAGCTCAAAAATAACCAGTCAGAAAAAAGACGGAAATGCCGACTGTATCGTGCAACGCTGTATTTTTTAGCTGTAGTCAAAAATGGCATCTGGCGACAGCGCAAACATCTTTCTTTAGAAGAAAAGCTTTTAGCGCTTCTACTTGTTGTGGTTTTAAAAACATGTTCAAGTCACTTAGAACAAAGGAAAGATCCGCAGCGAACTCCACTTCAGTCGCCATGTTTAAGAGAAACTCAGTGTTGTGGTATGTGGTACTCTACTCAGCGCTGATTGGTTCAGCTAGAATTCTCAGGGGGTGGGGCTTTTTGAATAGGAGAGTTCCCAGACCCTTTCTCTGTGCAGAATTAAACAGAGGAGGAGTCTGGCAATAAGCTAGAAACACATACCCCAGATTTTAAGACATGGAAGCTCCTAACCATGCATGGAGGGTTCCATCCCAAGTCCAGCACCCTAAGCGTAAGGAAGGAGGCTGAGGACTAGTGATTGTGAGAGCCACTGTCTAAGATTAAACATCAAAGATCCATAAGTACATCAAGGATAATTGTCCATCAGATGAAATGCTTAGTGAATGTCTCAGACAACGGCCAACAGAGGAGGAGGTGCTGGATATACCATCGTGGGAAGACAAACCCCTACATGGGACGTACCACCGACATATAACTGAAGTGGCTGATATCAAGGAATCCTACCAATGGCTAGAAAGAGCTGGGATCTCATTTATCAAACATTGCATAGAATCTTTACTAAAACCCTACTTAAGCTCAGCAAAAAAAAAATTACTTACTCCAGGTAGGTTTGTGATCTATCAAAAGGGAGTACGCACAGCTGCACGCAATCTCTGCTTCATAAATCAGAGACGAACGAGAAAGGTTCTCAGCTGCTTTTTAGTCACATCCCGCCCTCACCACGCCCACTTACTGCCATAAATGGTCAATGCAAACTGCCTTGTAGATCTCATGCATATTCATAAGCCAGCTCCTTGCAGCATTTCGGTCACGACCGCAGATCAAGGAAGCGCCTGTTTCAAAAGCAGAAATTGAGGTACTTGTGGGTGAGGTGGAGAAATTAAAGGAAGTGCTTTTGCAACACAAATAAGAGAAAATCCGGAGGGGCACAGCGTTGCTGAAGCCGTCAATGCTGAGTTCTTCAGAGATCTGTGGCGGATATTAAAAAAATGGTCCAATCGGGATTCAATCCCCAGACTCCCAGATGAAAGTCAGGCGCGCTAACCAGTCAGCCAAACGGAGATCTCCCTGGTCCAAGTAGGCAGGGCGCATGATCAATTGGGTCAAAGTGACAGGACACACACTGTCACATGACAGTCTGTCTCAATCTGTCCCCCTGCTGATATTCTGCATTCCGTATTCTGCGCTTCAGGCTGTGTGAGTGTGCGTGTGTGTGTGTGTGCGTGTGGGGGGTCTTGTTTTGTGTGAAAATGAAGCAGTACAAGTGATAATGCTGCAGGATTTCACAATTGTATCCTTCTCAGCTGCAGCACTGCAGGTACTCTCCATGTCCAGCATGTGCGTAAGTCAACTTAAAGTTGCGCACATTTTTCCGCACATTTTTCTGCTACGTTTTTTTTCATAAATCCCAAAGTTTGCGTGGAAAGTTGCTCACGCAGTTTTCCGACCCCGTTTTGTGCGTAAGCAAACTTGATAAATGAGGCCCCTGGTTTGAAGGACAGCACAGAGGCGCTCATCATGGCAGCACAGGAACAGGCCCTGGACACCAGAGCAACAGAGGCCAAGATCTACCACACCAGACAAGGGCCAAGGTGTAGGCTATGCAGAGAGGCCCCTGAGACAATCCATCACATAACTGCAAGGTGTAGCAACCAAGTGGCTGGCACCGTGTACAGAAACATCTATGGACTGGAAGCCCCAAGGTCAAAGTGGGTAACACCCCGAGGTGGTTGAGAACGAGGGAGCCAAGCTTCTGTGGGACTTCCAGATCCAGACCAACCAAATGGTGATGGCGAACCAAGCGGACATTGTGGTGGTGAACAAACAACAGAGAACAGCTGTTGTGGTTGATGTGGCAATACCAAGTGATAAAACATAGAGAAAAGGGAACACGAGAAACTAGAGTCTCAAAGAAGAACTTGAGAAATCCTGGAGAGTGAAGACATCAGTGGTGCCCGTGGACACTGGGGCACTCGGGGCAGTAACCCTGAAACTGGAGGAGTGGCTAAAACAGATCCCAGGAAAAACATCAGACATCTCAGTCCAGAATTATGCAGCTCTAGGAACAGCTAAGAAACCGCAGAACCCTCAAGCTCCCAGGCCTCTAGCAGAGGACTCGAGCTTGGAAAGATGAGACCGCCCGTGGATGGTGAGATGGGATTTTTTTTTATTATATATAGAGAGAGATACAGATATGGATATAGATAGATATATTGTTGACAGGTACTTCCCATTATTTCCTAGAAACAGCACATCAACAGACTAACTAACTCTGTGTTGACAATCGTGCTCACCTTTATGAACAAGCACACTGTGTGTGTGTGTGTGTGTGTGTGTGTGTGAGTGTGAGTGTGTGTGTTCGTGTATGTGTGTGTTCATGTATATGTGTGTGTGTGTGTGTGTGTGTGTGTGTGTGTGTGTGTGTGTGTGTGTTTGTGTGTGTGTGTGTGTGTGTGTGTGTGTGTGTGTGTGTGTGTGTGTGTGTGTGTGTGTGTGTGTGTGTGTGTGTGTGCGAGTGCGAGTGCGAGAGCGTGTGCGAGTGCGAGTGTGTGTGTGTGTGTGTGTGTGTGTGTGTGTGTGTGTGTGTGTGTGTGTGTGTGTGTGCGAGTGCGAGTGCGAGAGCGTGTGCGAGTGCGAGTGTGTGTGTGTGTGTGTGTGTGTGTGTGTGTTTGTTTAAAAAGCCTAACTAAAACATGGAATGTTTGTGTGCAGCAATTGAGAGATAGAGCAGATCGTCTCTATGTGGACTGAAACTGTCAGTGTGAGCTGCTGCTGTTGCACTCAGAGACTCAGGACTCATCCTGCATCAGACTGTTTTATATGTAATCTATGTGTGAAAACAATGAATAAAGACTATTACAAATTATTTTCCAGAAAACAATTTTATTTAGGTTCTTTTAAATTTCAACTGCTGTACTGTCCTTACGAGTTTATAAAACTGAATAATCACAGATACCTTTTGTTTTTGCCTCCATTGATACGAGCTGAAGTGAAAGATCTCTGACTGCTTCTATGTGCTCAAAAGGCCTCTTTCCCTCAAATGTTGTTTACAGTCTGGGTTAATCAGAACCCCCTCACTGAGATAATCCACCAAGATGCTGATTAGACAGAATGACCGTACATGTCCTAGACTGGTCGTAATATTAAGTCATTCTTAGTTGTGCTGGTTTGCTGATGTGGGGTTATGGTATGTGCAGGATGCATTTTACACAAAAACATTTTGAATGCACAGAAATAGAATAGAATAGAATAGAATAGAATAGAATAGAATAGAATAGACTTTACTAATCCCACAGTGGGGAAATTCACTTGTTACAGCAGCACTTACACAAAAGGAAGAGATAAATAATAATAAGTTTATAGGTAAACACACACTAAACTATTAATGTAACCTTCAACCCCTAAAAACAACACATAAAAAAGGAAACTTGGGTTTCCAGAACTTCGCGACATACTGTAAGGGACACAGACATACTAATATGCACCTGGTACTGTACAAGTATTGAACACAGACATAAAATTGCATGTTAGTATGTAACAGGATAATGCCAGTACTAGTTAAACTGTGAAGTTATACATTCTTAATGCAGAGGGGAGGAAATGACCTACGAAAGCATTGTTTTACATCTCGAAAGTGTCGCTCTGCAGCTAATGGAGCTGTCCGTGGCCTCCGCAGTGATCCTGAGACTCATTGTTGTGCCATTCATCCACAACCATCACCCCATGTTGCAGCAGGATAATGCAGAGCTCCATATTGTAAGGATCTGTACCCAGTTCCTGGAAACATCCCAGCTCTTGCATGGCCAGCCTACACACTGGTCATGTTACCCTTTGAGCATGTTTGAGAAGTTCAGGGTCGGCATATATACGACAGCGTGTTCATAACCAGCAACCACCATCAATAACCTGACCGTGTCTGATCTAAGGATGTGTGATGCTCGGTGTGAGGCAAATGGTGAACACAACCAGATACCCACTGTTCTTGAGCCACACAAACACAGCAAAGATGATAAACAGAGTCTCAGCAGTTCAGTGGGTAAATGCAAACAGACATGTCTGTCTTCTGTGGAAAAGTTCATAATAACTAGACAAAATGCCCATAAAACTGCACGCTGTGAAAACCAGACATGCATCATAAAAGTAAATAATCTGGTCATAAAAGATCTCCTGTGGGTGAGTGTTGTGTCATCTAATGAGGAAACGAACAAGTGAATAATGTTTCCTCTCTGCTCATTTTTTTCTGCTTCAGAGGGACTCGTGGGAGCAGTCTGGTCCTGAGCCAGTGTCCCAGGTTGAAGCTCTTTGTCCAGAAGGCCTGGCCCCTGTCAGCGTCCCCCCCTCGATGCCCAGCCCGGAACCCCCAGGCAGCCCCTCCCAGTACCCCTCACCCAGCCGTGGTTCCTCCATGGTCCCCTCAGCCAGCAGCCAGTCCTACACTCTTCACCCCCTGGAGGATGTCCACTACCACCCTCTAACCTCCAGCAGCCCCTACTCTGTGCCTTCCTCCTCCTTCCCCTGCCCCCCCTACATGAGCAGTCCTGTCAGTGACCTGGTGTCCAAGATGGTGGCGGAGGAGGTGTCCGAAGGCCACGGCAGCCTCCCTACCAGCACCGAGGCCCACTCGTCCTGGGGCAAGGAGGACGGAGTGAGCGCATGGTCACCCTATGAGATCCGGAGGGCTTACTGACTGCTTCAAACGACAGAGAGGAGAAAACTTCACAGACATTAAAACAAAGGCAGCACACACCCGCTCTCTGAGAGGCCCTTTGGTGGACAAAGCTTTGCTTTTTTCCTCATGAGTCTATTCTTTGGTGTGTTGATAAAACAGCATCACCAGCTGACCAACACCACCAGCTGGTGATAGAGCAAAGACACGGAGATGAGTCGGTTTTGAAAGACACGGACACCGTGGCGCTGAAACACAACCAAAAGTACTCAGGATTGAATAAAAGACTGAAACTAAAACAAAAATATTAAAGAATGAAGTAAACAATCTACTATTATCGTGTCTGAACTGAGGGTTAAAGGTCATGTGACTATGCTGCCTTTTGAAGACAAACTCTATTTTATATCTGCTTTTTATTGTAACACATAGACAGAAATCTGATACTGAGTAGAGTTTTTGGTCTCTCGTTTTTAAAATCTCACTTTATCCGTGACCTACAGACAGATCCTGTAACAGATTCTCCAGAATCAGGACAAAATGCTGTTAGTGTTTAGAAAAACGGAATAAAACAGATTTTATCCTTTATACTGGAACTGCAGGTCAGCATTTTGTTGTGGACACGATTAAAGGGGAACGGGAGAAGTTTGATCATTCGTTTGGTTTTAAATTATAAAAAAGTTAAAGAAAATGACTTTAATATTCTAATTTAACCTCTAATAACATCAATAACCCATTTGGTGGTTTAACACATTAAGCATTTAGATCTCAGACCTCCACAGCTCTTAACTATACGCTGATATTTATTTAAAGATTTGTGTGTTCTCTGAGTTCTTGTGCATTTATATTGTGTGGAGTTTCTTTTCCCTTCTTTATATCAAGTTGTCACCTAAATATTTGAGGCATGTTTCTTTGATCAAAGTCTGTTTTGTCTGGTCTCTGCAGCATAACGGGTTTAAACATCACAACAAACGCTGCATGTCTTAACAATGTTAGACAGGGCCAAACGTCCAAAGTCTGGTCTTATGTAGAGCGGTCTGTTGATCCCTGGTACTCGTGCATTACCATGTTTTAATCTCATTGTTTATTGGATTTCATTTTTTAAATAAAATAAGTAAAACACATTTTAACCTGGAACTTTAATTGACCAAGTAAAGCCTCTTTTGGGTAAAATCAGCTTCAGAATCCAGGAGATGTTTTTGTCCAGCAGATGGCGCCGCTGAGCTGCCAGAGGAGCCTGCGCCCAGGAGGAGCAGCCGCGAGTCGGGAAAACTTCGGGAGGACAGGAGACAAAGAAACATATACATGGAATAATCTGAATCAAACGTAATAAGCTAGTCGTGTGCAAAAATATAATAACATGGCAGGAATAAACACAAATATATAAAAAAAATGTTCTTTTGCTGAGTGGAAAAAATAATAAACAACTAATAGTTCTTTAATAACGTTTATTAAAATGTTCTAATTAATAAGTGGGAGTTAATTCTGCATTTCGGGTTACAAGAAGACTTTAAGATGACTCGGTGACATAAGAGTTAAACATAAATCACACGTTTAGTTTGTTCACATTATTATTTCATCAGATTTTATTTATATCATTAAAATTATTCTCTAAAGGGGTCAATACAGAGTTATTCATTATAAATAACTATTATTTTAAAAAGTTAGAACCAAATCTAAAGGAATTAATAATCTGATTAAAAAATTATGAATAGCTAAATTCATAAAGCACAGCTGAATGTTCTCAGTGGTGAGGATGAGAAATTATTAATTATTATTTTCCTTTTAAACAACTTTAAAGCTTTATTCCTGCGCTGTGCTACTGATTTACCTGCAGCCTGCTGCAGCAGGTGAGAGCACCTGGGACCTGCTGAAGGCCTGCAAAGATGGCCGCCGATCTTTGCCACGCCCCCTTCTAACCCACTTTAATGCGTTTTATCCGTTTTTAAAAGTTACTATATATTATAGCCTGAATGGTTACTGTCTATACTTTACCCATAACCGTCTAATGGTAGATTTAGGGTGAAAATCGCTTCTAAAGCTGCGTAAACGACGCATCCGGAGCTGCAGGGTTTATTATGGGCTGTGATGCTGTGATGTGGCAAAAGGAGGATAAAACTGATAAAAGTGTGATTTTTTAAGGGCAAACTATAAAATACTAACATATATCATTAAAGTAGGGCTTATACAATGTCCATGCGTAGTAAATTTTACAAAAAAATTGATTTGTGAGAGTTGCTTCTGAATATTCAAATTGTAAGTAACGCGCAATCAAATCATTGTCAAATCATTGAGTTCTAGGGGTTTTAAATAGTAGGGATGGAGGAAGAAAATCTCAAACTAATATGTCCCCAGCTATTTTACAATATTGTTGGAGACTCTGACCCCACTGAAACACATTTGTGTTGAAGTTTTTGGAGACTTTTGCTCAAATTTCATTCTTGGCCATTTTGCTGAGGCAGAAAAGAACGTTGTGAGTTCCAGAAGTCCTCTTCAGGGATCTTCTTCTCTTCTTAGCCAACATGTCTGGTAAGTTTAATCCCGGATTTTCTTCAGATAATATTTTTTGACATTTTTGTCCTGTTAAACAGAGAGAGAAAAAAGAAAAGTATTATAAATATAATGTTTGGAGATTGTGACTAGACTTGCTGGAGTCAGCATGGACGCACTGGGTCTATTTCCCTTCAGATGCCCGCTTGTCTTGCACTTTTAAAACATTTATAGAATCACTTACGGATTTCTTATAAGCTTTTTATTTAAACTAAAACTATTTTTATTTATTTATAATCTTTTCCTGCTGATAGGAGCCTCTGGCCACTCGGGTTTGTGGAACTTTCTTGTTGAGATTTACTGACTATTACTGGGTTTACAGTACGTTTAGTTCTTATGAACTGACGCACCTCAGGACTTGTAGATGTTCGTTTCGCAGACATTTTTTGATCAGGTGTTTTGCCACTGGTGGTAAGATTTAAGACTTAGGCGCTCTGCCCGGACTGCTTGTGCGTAACAGGGCGTTTGAGTGGGATGTGTCTGTTTGGGATTTTAGCCCACCATTCTCCACATTTAACACAAACTACACTGAAGCATTTAACTATATGAATATTTATCAGATAAGGCTTTCAGAGCCGAGCCTTCTCCTCTAATCAAATCGTATTTTCCACTCCTGAGTCCACACTAATTTACGCCTTTAGGCCCAAATTACGCGCACCAATGCGGAGCGCTCTTGTGGACTCTTTAACAGTTTCATGAATAAAAACCCACCTAATTGTTTTCCGAATAATTTCGCTGCTCTGATGACTGTCGCTCATTTAAAGATCGGGGCAGGGTGATTTGGTTAGATTGACAGAAGAGAATAGTTTGGGGCTTTGACTGTAAATAATCCAGACATGAAACAATGGCAACAACTTTTGATCACTAATCTGATGTTTTTAAAGTCGGATCTGGTGCTAAAATAATAAATAAATAAAAACGTACGCTGCTCTGCCCAAACTTCACTGACGGTAAAACCCAACACCTCTGCAGGTTTGACTTCTTTTTATGAGCCCATCTTAGTTCTGAATGACGGAAGCCTTCAGATAATGTGTTAGTGAGATTTACGCGGCTGCAGGGGGATAATCCAGCTCCACCAAACAACCCGAGACGCGTTTAAACTCGTCATCGTTAAAAACGTTCCGCGCACGTTTGTGATCAGAGGTATACTTACTGTCGCGCATTTCTCTTATTCCTTGTCGCCCTGACCTGGATTCGGGAGATCGTTGGAGCGAAAGAAAGCAGATGTGTGGAAGGAATCGCGGAGCTCTGTGATGCCGCTCGTAAACGCGGTCAGGAAATAGCCGCAGTGCGCAAGGAGCGCCGGAGAGCCTTTACGCACGGCGGGCTCTGAACGCTCCGTGCAGTTTCTGAACATTTCATGATGAAATAACTTTTTCGTAGCTAATTTCTTTTACTGGATGACGAGATTTATTCCCATAACATCAAATATGTGTGAGTTTCGGGGTGTGGTGCAGCCGGGACCTTTGTTCTCTGGGTGTTTGGTGAACGGAACGGGAATTCTCCTGTCTATGCAGAAAAACCAAGAGTGTACCAGGGCGTCCGAGTGAAGACCACGGTCAAAGAGCTACTGCAGAGGCACCGAGCCCGGGAGGCAAGCAGCAAGAAACTCCAAACGGTAACCACTCCCCCCACTTTTACCCTGTTGACGCAAACTGTTTCACTGCCCTTGTAAAAATAACAAATCAAATCATAACCAGCTTTATTCTCTGATCCATCCTCAGGTTTATCTGGAGCTCAAGGAGCTTTGCGCGTCCACTTTTTCCAGTAAGTCCAGCCTCATTATCACCAGAATATCCGCATCTCCAGCCAGTCTGACCTAAGCAAATCACACGCGGCTGCATGTCTGCGATGCACGATTTGCAAACACCATTTCAGAATTTGCATGACCCATTCACCGATCCAAATTAAAGCTGCAGTCATCTCCAACAACCAATTCACCCAAAACCAAGCAGAGCCCTGCTGAAACGCATCCCAGCGAGGAGACAGGCTGCAACCTGCCCTGACCTCTGCAACAAGATCCCATCGCGACAACAGAAAGAAAGGCTCCAGGAATGCAGCCGTGGTTTCTCATTAACAGCTCCGAGCCAAAACACATTCTCACACCAACCCAGAGCTCACTGACTACCTGTTTGTCCCAAACCGGAAGAAATCTGCTTATCTCTGTCATTTACTCAAATCTGCAATAATATTTTAAATCTCTTCCTGCCAGGTCGGAACGAGGACCCCTCTTTCACCGTGACCCCCACCAGCACGTGCAGCGGAGGCTCACGACCCCCCTTCCAAACTCCTGACGTCTCGTGCAGCCTTCAGATGCAGGTTGACACGTTTAACGACGTGCAGCAGCAGTTCGGGGACGTGGTGTGTCCCGGTTACAATCCCAGCTACAACACCTCCCTGCCTTCGCTCCCCACGTCCTCCCCGCTGCCCTGGAGCCAAGGGCTCTCCTCAGATGCAGACTTCTACGGGCACGGCATGGTAGGTTCCAGCTCCACTGTAAAAATGTCCTTTAATTTAATTTAATTTAATTTAATTTAATTTAATTTAATTTTATTTTATTTTATTTTATTTTATTTTATTTTATTTTATTTTATTTTATTTACCTATGTATTTTATTTATTTATTTATTTATTTTGTTAAGAAAGTGGACGAATGTGGTCCCTTGGTGCAACTTTTATATTAACTAAAATTCCTCCAAACTTCCATTTATTTTCCTGTCAAAAAATAAAATATTACTTTACTGATTTAAATGATTAGAGAACAAAAAAAATCTTGACTTGATTGCATAAATTTGAAAATCTGTATTAAAATAACATTTTGTCTTTTTTCTTTATTATTGAACCCAACCAGAGGCTACAACCACTCATAGAACAACACAGAAACATCAAAGAGCTCTATTTTGCTGATAGGACATCTGCAGACATGTCCTTTTAATTACTCTTCTTCCTTCAGGCTGTCTGCTCCTCATCGGAGTCTCTGACTCTCTGCAACCCCATGGATCCCAACAGCTACTCTCCACAGGACTCGTTCTCCTCCTCCTCTTCCTCGTGCTACGACTCACCCACCAGGATGGAGTCCAGCTACCACAGCTTCCCCTCAGACCCCTACCACCACCAGCAGCTCTACAACCCCCATCAGAACTATATGTCCAGCTGCCAGCAGGAGAGCCTCTCTGGCCCTGAATACACACCTTACTACAACACCTCGGACTATCCCAGCGCCTACCCTGTGATGGAGAGCTATAGGAAGGATTTCCCAGGGAGCCCTGAGATGTGTTATAATGTGCTATGATACACAATATTATAGCTGCAGTATTACGTTGTGTCCTGACTGTAAATATGATTTTGCAGCATTTCCTAAGGTCTGCTTAGCATTTCAGTTTGTGCTCTGACTGACTTCTGCTGATTTTGAGGACCTCGTTGTTGTTTCAGGAATGCACAGAAAAGTATTTTTGTATGATTTTTTACAACCTAGATTTATTTTCATATCAATGTTTGCTGATGTTCAAAACAAAAGTGTGTGATTAAAAAGCACAGGCAGGTAAAAGTTTGTGTTTCTGTCTGTGTGGTGGAAATATTAATAAATGAATCGACTCCTGCATGTCCAGGGTGACAAGTGCCAGGCGTCCTCCTGGAGATGCCTTCCTCCCATTCTGTCTGAAAAGGTAAACAAATGAAAATACTTCATCACCTTCACTCTTTAACTGCTTCAGGAAGCATAAAATACCAAGATTAAGGCTGTATTTAGTCTAATAATAGACTCACTTTGCTTTTTGAACAAACCCCTAAGCTCCAAGAAAATAAAAATAAAACATTCCTTTGGCATGTTTATTTATTTTTTTGTTCAGTTTCAACAAAGGTCGCGTTATAATGCAGGGCAATCATAATGTAAAAATAATTAACTTAATATTAAAGTTAATACAATTATATGCAAATCATGTTGAGCCTTTTTTGAAACAGCTCCATATTTTATAGACATTTTTAATTAAATCATTGCATGCTTTGATGAGACATTGGGACTCTACCGGGCGCTGTATAAAAACCATGTTTTCTTATCTACCAGGTGTGTGTTTTCTTGTTCTGTCTTGTCTTAAAAACCTTAAAGGATACCAAACTGATATTTTAACAGTTGGCGTTGACCTGCACAGATAAAACAGGAGCTGGTAAAACAAAAAGTGGTGACATCTGTGGAAATAGTTTTATCATTAGTTCCCTCACGGTCATGTTCCCAGACTCTGATGGACATAAAGTTCCCTCTCACTGAACACTGATGCCTTACTTTAGGTTTTGTTTGAGGGAGCTCAGCTGAACTTTTGGGTTGATTCATAGAAACACGATCAAACCCGGATTTGTTGAACCTAGAAAAAAGTCAGAATGAAGAAATAATCAAAGCCTGATGTTTGACTAAAAAGTTTAAGAGAATGTTTATGTGATTTAGACCTGTTTCAATATTTTGTTAGTTTTATTCTCAGCTTTCTTTATGAAACTGTCATAAAATTCTGACTTTTAAGATTTCTTTATTACATTTATTTTTGCTCCTAAAGTTTCCGGAATGTTAAAAATGCGCGGAAACATTCCATTTTCATTCCTCATTGTTTCATTTAAAAGCCAAATGTTGGATCAGCTGCTCTGGAGGATTCAATTCGAAGCGTTTCAACATGGTTGAGAACAGATCACCTGACAGCAGCGGCGACGGCTCAGGTGAAAGACGCCAAGGGCTCTCAACACGATCAGATCATGTCTGTACTCGAGCTGTTTAATAAAATGAAACAAGGCACTGGAGATTAATGCTGAAAGGACTTAAATGAAAATAATAATTAGCAGTTTAGACAGCTGGAACGGTCTCGTTCTGAAGAAATAACACAATCATGGTGTTCAGTCTCAGACATGGATTAAACTGTCAACACCATGATCACTAAACGAAATTTTGCTTTGAATGTTGATTCAAAACGATGAAACCGCCACAGGCTAAATGATAGTGCTTATGTTTTTAAGCCTAAACTAACGGAGAGGTATTGTGGGGGGTCAAACCTGCAACCAAACAGAGTGGGATCATCAGAAATAAGGTCAGGACTCTCAGGTGCTTGAGAGCAAGGCCTTCTAGCCAGCAGATACTATCATACTGTCATGACTTGCGGGAGGCGTCTAACCCAAGACATGCATAATCAGCACGGGACTCAGGAGGTAAGTAAAAATAAAGTCTTTTATTTGGAGAACGGGAACTAAAGGTGCCCTGGAAGTCCAGTGAGTAGGATGCCGTGAGGCGTTAGTCCGGAGTTCGAGCTCAGCGAGCAGCGGGGCAGGTGATGAGCCGAGGTGAGCGAGGGCGGGGGTCCAGCAGAGCGGGGATGGTGAGGAAGCGGAGAGGAGAGGAGCATGAGCCGTGGAGGAGGATGGGACGTGGTCCTGAGGATCCGGGGTTCTCGGCGGAGTAGGTGAAGGAGATGATGGTAATCCTAAACAGGGCAAGCAGACGGGGGTTCAGAGGGCAATCCAAAGTCGTAATCCAAGAAAACAGTCCGAGGTCAAAAATCCAATAATCCAAACACGAGAAGTCAAACAAGTGAACAAGCAAAGTGGCTGGAGCTAACCAAAACGGTAGCAATCATCCGGCGTCGAGTGGTGTCTCCATCCTCCTTTTATACCAGAGCCTCTGATTACGAATGCAGCACCGCTGGTGTCCCCTCCGCTCCTCACCTGTGGAAAAGAACCTCAAAGATGGTTCAGTGAGGAGGAGCACTCACCTCGGCTTGTGGATCATGACACATACAGGCCCAAGTCGGATCCTAACCTGCTGGTTCCGCATCCTTCTCCGCTCATTTACCTTCCAGAAATGAGCTATTTGGTTATGCTGATAACCCTCTGAGTAGAAGACATGCAGACACTTTTCCATGTTTGAATACACAGAAAAGAAAGATCACATTAATGTAAAGAGGTGTGACCAAGTCACTGCTTTGCAAGTCACAAGTAAGTCACAAGTCTTTCCAATTAAGTCTTGAGTCTAGTCCAAGTCAAAAACAACCATGTCCAGGTCGATTCCAAAGTCAATGATGTGGAAGTCCAAGTCAAGTCCAAGTCCTTAACTTTGAATTTTCGAGTCATAATCAAGTCATCTGTCCAACTTCAATTTATTGACAATGATAATAAATAAATTCCAGAAATAAAGCTTCTTAAAGCTTCATTTATTTGCTCCAACAAGCAGAAAGAGCAACTGAAACTGATTATAAACAAAGTGCTGCTGCATTTAGCAGAACAAGATCAAACCCAGAACCAAGAATGATTTATGATTTTTGTCCATGTCGGGTCACTTTTGTGCTAAAATATCAAATATGCTCAAGTCATCATCAAGTCAACAGATGCAAGTAGATTCAAGTTGCAAGTCATTGGCATTCAAGTCCGAGTCAAGTCGTAAGTCTTTATAGATTTTCCATGTTGTCTTTCTTTTTTAAAACACAGAAACGGTTTTGTTACCTGTTGACGCTACGTTTCGCCGACGGCTGCCGGCTTCTTCAGGCTGACGCTGATGGTGGTCAGAGGACCTCTGCTGCCCGCAGATAAACGGAGAAGGAAGGGACGCGCCACCATCAGCGTCAGCCTGAAGAAGACGGCAGCCGTCGGTGAAACGTAGCGTCAACAGGTAACAAAACCGTTTCTGTGTTTTAAAAAAGAACGACACAGCAAGAACACACCTAAGACCTTTATAGATTTTATCAAGTCAAGTCAGAAGTCATTAAAATAATGACTCAAGTCTGACTCGAGTCCAAGTCACGTGACTCGAGTCCACACCTCTATTCATGTGTAACTAAGCACATTGGCCCAATGGGATCACTGTTGGTCCTGTAGTTGTGGGGACCGTTAGGATCTGTGCCTCCAGTTTCTTCTCCCTGATGCCGTAGATGATGGTTACACTTTTAAAAGCTGGAGCAACCAATCGTTATTACTGTTATTGCAACAATTATTCCTCAGCTTCCCTGGAGAGGTGTACTTCATGCACTGGAGAAGCGGAGGGTCCAGTCGATAGATGCATCTCAGATTGAGGAGGAGTTCCCCAGCCAGGGGCCAGAAGGCGGTTTTTGCCCTGGCTGAACCGTGGATCAGCCGTTCTCTTGTTAGGGTGCTGGAGGGGTGATGAGAGTACATACAGCCAGTCAATTTTACAAAAGAGTTTTTCATTTAAATACACGTTTAGTCAGAAAAAAGCAGAATCTTGGATATTTATAAGGAGTAAAGTGCAGAAAAGATCATATTGGTTGTAATCTTTTGCTCCACACAGAGCAGTTTGGTTTTGCTAGTTCTGTTTACAGCTTCATATGGATCGATGCTCATACTGAAACGGAAAAGCGGGAACATCTGAGACCGAAACATTGTTCTTGTTTTATAAGAACAAGTTGCATCTCGTTTGGAAAACGGACACCTTAAACAGTTTTTTAATGGTGTGACTGACCCTGGGTGTCAGGTTGGCTGATCTTTATAAGTAAGTGTGAGGGAAACAAATGTACAAAGGTCAAACACATGCTGTGATGTTGGGCATTGCGCTTGAATAATGAGCATGTGTACAGAAAATCCTGTTGGCATCCATCCCACAGGTACCTGTTAAGCCAGAATTTGTGGAAATCCCCCACTGGAGGCTCAGGCAGAAGAAAGTCCCACACCAGGGAGAACAAAGCGCCTGAATCAGCTTTTATTTCCTGGTTGGGACATTTTCAGTGGGCCGCCCAACACATGTTTAATGGGTCGTTTTTTATCGACCTGCATTTGAAAAAAAGAGAAAAAACATCCCCATAAAAACTGCTAATTCATTTACAGGAACAGTCCAACAGACCTTTGTTCGCTGAGTTATTGACCTGCGGTCTGTGAGAGCTGGATTTGTAAGGCAGCTGACTGCATGCTTGTTAGATGTGTTAAAAGTGTGTGTGATTGTGAGAATTGTTCAAAACGTTTTCAGAAGAACCAAACTATGAGTGGATTGTGATTTTCTTTTCTCATCTTTCTAGCAGACCACAGAAAAAAAAGAACAAATATTAACAAACTATTTCTTCTGTATTAGCTCTGGGTGGTGCATCTTTAGATTCATCTTTGATTCAACGTTATGGTTAAATAGTTTCTGCTCCTTTTGGCATCCGAGCAAAACCACAAACCAAACTTCACCAACTTGTTTTTGCACTTTCAAAAGAAAATCTACAGGAGGCACAGAACTGAAGTAATCATAAAGTTATGTGACTCATCCTCTGCCAATGTGGGAGTAATGGAGTCTGTGCAACAAAAAAGTGAATAATTAAACAGAATTTAGTGGCATTTTCTGAGTAGCCTTGTTGGACCTTCACGTGTCCTCTACTGACTGTTTTAACGTATCAGAATAAATGATTCATTCATTTATTTACTCGTTCAACCAGGTTTGCTGCATCGGATGTTGCAGAAGGGGGATTTTTTTATGTTCATGGAGTTAATTGATTCTGACGTAATCTGTTGTTAGCACATAAAACCACGTTATTGTTTTCTGACCAAAAAGAAAACATACAAAAATAAAAGCCCTATAACTTCTTACTAGTGGTCTCCAGTTCTTTTTGGCCCACCAAGGCCTCTCGCTAAGCCGTTACAGTGTTTTTGCTCCTGGTTTCCCAACCGAAGGAACATGGGATCAATTTATAAATGGTTCATATTCTGGAACATCAGCTCTTATCTGTAATTGATGCAAAAACAGCACGAAAAGTTTTGTTTGTTTTAAGTTCAAACTGTGAAAGTGAAAGATTCAATGATTTTTATCTTGAGAGGCGCTACAGAAAAGAATTCTTCTTCTTCTTCTTCTTCTTCTTCTTCTTCTTCTTCTTCTTCTTCTTCTTCTTCTTCTTCATTTGTCTTATCTTGTATTTCCATAGATCCTGGTGTTACATTTGTCCGCATCCTAATGGATGGGTCTCACACACACA